TTTTAATATGCTATCTAGGCTATGCAGATTAAAAAGTATAATTTGTGAAAATGTATTTAGTCCCTTTAGAGCTCATGAATTACGCCAACTGAGAAAAAACAGCCACTGAATGAACTGGCTCAAAATGGAATCACACAGAATTCCTCCTTTTTCATATCTTAAACAAATCCCTAATGACTATTTCTCACTTAACCAACAGTTGGTTGGTTGGTTTTGCTACTTTGGTGGGATTCTGCTTTCATGCTCCAGTTACTACCAGGCAGGCACTTGGAAAAAGATGTTCAGTTAGAATGTACCTAAAGCCAGAAAAAATGCACAAATGCATAAAAGAAACCTGCATAATAAAAACTGAATGACATACTGGCTGCATTCACAAAACATGCTTAATCTTCTTACTGAATTACCTCATTTTTCTGGCTTTGCGAAATACAGCTGCAAGTAGAGCAATATCCTAACCCTCTGAAACCTTCCTTCATGCAGGACTGGAACCATGACAAAGAATCCTGAGGTGGTCTGGAAGATACCATGGTTGATGGTATAAAAAGCCGCGTGGATATCTAGTAGCACAAACAGGGACATAGTAATCCTGCCATGATCCCTTAGGAGATTGTCCACCAGGCATCTCAAGCCATTTTTGTGCTATGACTTAGCCTGAAGCCAGATTGAATTAGATGCAGAAAATCAGTTTCATCCAGGAGCGCTTACAGTTGATCTGCCATAATACGTAGGTCACCTTGGCAAGAAAAGGAAAATCTGACATTTCTATCAACCAAGAGGGAGCTGGATCTAAAGGAGGAGCAATGGCACAAAGTCATACAAGCACTCCGGCCACAACTTCAAGGTGCACAGAAACTAACTGACCAAGTAACACACAACAATGCATGGCATCATTCTCAACTCACACCTAGCCCACTGCAAGGTTAATCTCTACCCTTCTTTTCTTGCTCCACATTAAAATAGTGTTTTCTTGCTGCGCTAAGCAGTCTGTCTGCCATGCTTCAGTCCATTGTCGGCAATGTTTCTGCTCCAATTAACTCATGTGCTCTGTTATGGGAATGCCCTTTAGTTCTTGCCCTGCATGGCCATTTCATCCTGATAGGCTATCAGGAAAAGCAGAAAGCTTGTTCTTTTTCACAGGTTCAGCTAGCACACTTCATCTCCCACAGTTCTTCAATAAATCAAGACCCATGCACTTGGTGAACATGCAAAGACTGCTTAAGAGCCTACTGGTCAAGAGCCAGGTCATTCCAGTCCTCCACTAATATTTCAGCCAAAAGGTTCATCAGTAAATTCCCTCCTAGCATATCCTGGAATTCCACCAGATCCAAAATACACCATGAGTTGACCCTAAATCTTGTCTTGTGTCCCTGCAGGGAGGGCTGAAGCCAACCATCTCACCCTTACCAGTTGGTGATTTATCCATAACAAAAGGGCCACTTTAAGCCCCCAGAGCATGGGTTATCATTATGGATGCAAAAATCCAGGTCTACCTTAGTGAGTGGCAGATATAATTTGAAATGGACCATGGAAATACTGTAATGGTAGCCATAAACTCCTGAATTCTTCAGATAAACTGGCTTAAAATGTTGAAGTCCCCTACACCAAATGCTTCAGGAACATCAACATCACTACCAGGACAATATCCACCAGTTTAGGGAGGAAGACTGTTGGGCACCAGGGACACAAAAACCAATGTCTTACTTTCCCAACTCCAATATCCCTTCTGTAGCCCGCAGACCCTGCCCTGAGTGGTTGGGATCAAAAATAGACTTTTCTGTCTTTGGGGTGGGATAGTTAGTGCTTTACAGAATAAAATGGATGCTTGATGCTACCCATTTCACATCATAAATAGTGCTACATATGATGGAATATTGGTTTGACTCAGAGGAGGGGAGGAGAATGTCAAGCCACTACAAAAACGGTATTTGAGTCCTGGAAAAATAGAAAACATGAGAAAGAAACTGAAAACAACTCCACCTTGTGTTATGTGTACCTGGATGTAAAGAAGGGCTTTGAAGATTCTGCTACAGTACTCTAACAGCATTAAGTTGTGCAGTCCTTGGGGTTCTCTGAGCTTGGTTGTTTTCTTGCAAATGTTTCGTTACCCGGCTAGGTAACATCTTCAGTGCTAGAGTGCAAACCCCATTCCACTCTAGCACTGAAGAAGTTACCTAGCCGGGTAACGAAACGTTTGCAAGGAAACAACCAAGCTCAGAGAACCCCAAGGACTGCACAGTTCAACTGTGAGCTACACATATTCGCTTCTATTGGTGGCATTAAGTTGCTTTTCATGCTCCTAGGTCTTGCTTCCTGACCTTGCCTATCTCGAAGGGCTGACATTAGCAGATCTAAGCTGCAAAAATCTGAACCAACAGATGGCAAAAAAGAGACACTGAGAATTTTTTGCAGCCTACCTCTGCCAGCCCCACTTAAAATCTCAGAAACCCACTCATGAAATGGGTATTGGGCAGCCCACTTCTATTATTATTATATTTGTATCCCGCCATACATACATATTTATATGTATATACATGATCAACCCAAGGTGGTGATATATCTAATATTCCTACCTCCTATTTTCCCCACAACAACCCTGTGAGGTGGGTTGGACTGAGAGGGAGTGACTGGCCCGAGTGAGCCAGCCAGCTTTCATCAACATGCCACGCCAAACCAGTGTGGGCCGAATTAATCCAATAAACCACGGCTCAATGACGTGTGTGTTTATAGTGGGTTGTGCGGACATAATTCCGCGGACACCTCCGAATTGATAGTCGTTACGGACCACATCGCAACCGGACCGCAGCCAGTACTGAAGCGCCTCAATTCCGCCACCAAGAGGAGAAACGGGAAGGGCCGAGCACTGAAGGGCCTGAGAAGAGTTCGGACGTAAAACCCTGAGACTTTGCACGCAGGTTTCCGCTGGTAATCACTGCAGCGGCGCCTCAGCCGACGGTGAAACCAGTGCCGGGACTGTGCGCATGCGTCATCTGAGAAAGCTGGCCTAGGCAAACCGAACCTACGACACTAGGTGGAAGGCCACGACTGTGGCGTTTTTCCGGTCACCCGAACGACGCATGTGCGTCTCTCCCTGAACGGCTTCTTCCCCGCTGCAGGGCGGAGCCGTCTGTCACGAATTTCTTTTGGCTCCACCTCCACCCTTTCCCTATACTGGCAATGGGCGGGGTTACGCGGTCAGTTGGCGGGCAGGCCGAGAGGAGAGGGTGGAGGCGTTGTCACGTGATTACTGTAGGCTTCCCAACATGGCGGCTGGGGCAGCTGCGGGCGTTGCAAGCTTCAGGATTTAAGTAGCAGCAGAGGCCAACCCTTCCTTCTCTTCCCCCTCCCACGACAGAGACCCCGCACCGGCCTCGGACACGCCCCCTCCCCTCGTGCCTTCATTCATTCATTCATTCCTTCATTCCATCGGTTGTTCGGCTCCTGCCAGTACCCAGCCGCCATGAGGGAAAAGGGCCGCAAGAAGAAGGGCAGGACCTGGGCAGAGGCCGCCAGGACGGTACGCGGGGTTGGGCTGGGGGGGACGGTATGGGTGGCACCAGTTACTTTTCCCTCCCTTTGAGCGCATTCGTCACTATTAGGCAGTCTTCCTCAAGGTAGTGGCCTCTGAAGCTGTTGAGTTTCAACTCCCATCGTCCTTAGCCTCCATGTTAGGTGTAGGTGATGGGAGTTGTAGTCCAGCAATTCTGGATGGTTGGGAAGACCACAGTAGAATGCAAGGAACTCTTTTTCCCCCTCCTCCCATCTCCTCGCGCCGCCTCAGTATTTCCACCAAAATGAGTTTATGAAGTGTAAAGGATTAAAACCCCGCCTCTGTTTCTGTGATCTGACAGTTTGTTGGGATGGGAAAACAGCTGTTGCCTGCCAAATCTCCCATCTTCTCCTGAGAACCTGGTAACTGGTTTACTGGGTGAAGACCAATCCTTGTTATAGAAAAGTCACATTTGCTTTCAAGACCAGAAAAGATCTCTTAGCATATTTTCAAAGGGCTGATCCTTTGTGTCAGATAACACCCATATTTCTCACTGTTTTCCAGTGAACCAAAGGCTAGCTCTTGAAATAGCTGCTGGAGAGACATTAATAAGAAAGTCTTTGGAAAACAGCCCCCCCACCCCCAATTTTCTAGCACATCGTGGTGATCAATCACATTACCAGAGTGATCTAACAGGGCAGCCCATTACTATACTTCCATGACATTAAGATTACATCTAAATATTTGTATATGTGCAATTAAAAGTTTGCACTATAGTTACTTACAGAAATGATGTTTTGTGACTTTAGTGTCTTAAGAATGTTAGAAATGCAGGTGACATGCGTTTTGAAATTCTAACTCATTTCATAATGAGCCTAGCAAGTAAACAACTTTGTTCCCCTTACCCAAAATTACTGTGAGCCAATTTAATTCCTGATTTTTAAAAATTCATTTTACACCTCTCATTTTCACAGATAATACAAACTTTGTTTTAAATCTTAATCCCTTTTGGCATTTGTTCACCTGATTTGTAGTTAATTCTGGGTAGAATGTACTTTTGTGTTTCCAGTCTGGGTGATAACATAAAATGCAATATAAACCCCATTTTTAATCAGCAACTCTTAATGAGAGAGGACACATATGAAGCCAAGGAAAGAATTGTAGCTCATTGGCAGAGGACCTGCATTGCATGTGGAAAATCCCAGATTCAATCTTCCATTGGCTGTGTTAGGAAAGAGCTAACATGAATAGCTACTGTCAGTTAGTGTAGATAATGCTAGTCTAGATGGAATAATTTTGACCAAGAAAGCTTTATATGCTCTTCTGCAGGCTATTTGGATTCATCATTTGTTCTGTTATTCAGTTAATAATGAAACACTTAATACTTTGTAGCAGCTTTGTAGTATCAGTTAATAAAATGATAAAATATCCATGCCCATATTAGTCATGAACAGGATAGGGAAACATTAATTTTTTTCCCCAATGTCAATCTGTGCATGTAAGTTATATATTTAAGATTTTGTGCAAACTGTCATAATAGTCCTAGCTCCTCTTTGTTTCATTGCTGCTGAAAAGTAAATCTAAATAATAATAATAATAAT